AATCTAGTAGACTGAATTCGAAATTTAGACTACTAGATGGAAAATCCGAATCCGAATTCGGGCTGGCCAATCGAAGCGCAGTTGTCACAATAATGATTTGGCAGAATAGTTTTCAAACAAATTAAATGACATTTCGTCTCTATTTCTGGTATATACTCGATGCATACGGGCTACAGTTGTGTGTAGAAAAACTTTTTTTTTGTGATATCAAGAGACGGGACGAACAAGTCGTGCCTGATGGTAAGCTACACGCGTATCCATAACAGTTGCAGTGCCATTCAGAGGTTTCAATCGCAAATATCTGACGGGCACTGCCACTGCGCCCGACACCCTGAGACATAAGTTGATAAGTTCCATGTGCCTGTAATTTCCCTTACCCTTTAAAACCGGAGCACAGTAATGCTCTAACATAACTGCTTGGCGGCAGAAATAGGTAAGATGTCAAGTACTTCCCTGGACGAACTCTTTCAAGGAGCTCTACTGCGACTAAAATGCAATTTACACATTTTCATATGAAATTTTGTAATGACGTATAATCATCACATATTTCTTACGGTCATTACAAGATTGAGAAATGAAGAAATCCGCAGAACTACAAATAGAGATAGTATATAATAGCAAAGATAAAGAGTAAGGTACAAGTGAATATCACTTATAAGTGACAGACGACATAGTCTGTTCGATTAACAACATTCACTTGTTTTTTTATATGTAAGGTGGTTACAAAGAAATAACGACTCAAAACGACTGACAAAAGAGCAGTAGCTTAATTTTGATTGCCTCTCCTGATCGGAAACTGCGTCTTTTCCGAGTCGAGGCGCATAATTGGGATTCACAACTGGCCGATCGCGACCGGAAACTTTTGACATTTCTAATCGGAACAATAGTTGATCTAACTCACAAATTTGAAAGATATAGTAGGAATCAGGTTCATCTTCTCGCTCAGAAACCCATCTGATTTCGAGACTACCCGATCGGATAGTTTCCGATTTGAATTAAAATCAGGACGCTGATCTTAACAAACAGCACTTGCATTAAAGGCTTCAATTGGTACTTCGGGACTTGAACGGGTTTCAAGGATATATTATTCCGATAAGCGTTAGGTAAATTGTCTTAGATCTTGTTCGGACTGTGGCAATTGCTTGAGATCGTGTTAGATGTCGTGTTAATGCATTATGTATTTTTAACGGAGCACAGCGGTAGTGTTGATAGATGTATCTGGGCACAAACGTTAACAAGAGCTCATTAGAACTTTGTTATTGCCTTGAAATTATTCTTTTACGATCTACTCCGACATTTGGGAACCGATTTCGATGATTCATTTTTGTTGGAAAGGAGGTATCTCGGTACTGGTCCCGTTCATATTTAAAGAAAATATTCGACCTCTAAGGGTGGCAAATGAGGGGATTTGAAAAAGAAGAAACGTAATTCAAAATTTTTAAAATCGAAATAATCTAAATTAAATTTTCTTTTATTTTATTATTGTATAATAGTGTTAATTTATTATTGTATTTAATTAATAGTGTATATTTAAAAATTGTAAGCTGAAAATACGTAAATAATCTCATCAGATACCTAATTTTGTATATTTACAGAAAAAAAACTGAAAATGAGTATATTTTTATAGTTCCAAAAATTTATAGTATTTGAAAAAAAAGCTATTTACAGGTTGCTATTATACAGGTTGTGTCACGGCTATGCGACATGAAGAAAAAGTAATTTAAATATTGTGGATAGGATATTTTGCTTCTTGGAGACGTTATTTTATTTCTAAAAGTAAATAATAGTGCGTTCAAAGATTTTTAAAAAGTTTCTTGCCTCTTCTGGGTTTCGAATTCGAATTTCTTTTATTAATTTTTTTTTTATATTCTAATCGACCAAATGTGAAAAAAAAAAACATCCATCTTATTTTTGTGATGCCTATCGAAAGGTGTATTAAGAATTCATTATTTTTAAGTAACAAATAAATCATAACATTACTCATGAAAGATGGCTACTTATTATACAAAAAAAATAAACGGAGCTCTGAGCTTTTACAATTTTTGTCGAGAGTTTTGTTTGTATTGTGTTTATATAAATAAATTTTTTTTATAGTTTTTAGACGAACTTATATATTTTTTTCCATATTGTGAAAATAAGAAAACTTTTAGAAACTTTGCTACCCTTTTAAGATGGGCTAATTGAAGGAAATGCGACGACGCTATGCGACGTGTTGAGACGTTATCGAGCAATTCCGCTTCACTTCTGTAAGCCGTATCTACCAGATACCTGCGATGAGCGGTAGAACAACTTTGCATTTGATAAAGAGTCCAAGATTCCTCGTATTTAAACGCCCGTTACCGCATATATTAATTTGTTACGGTGCGGTGAGCGTATTTTTAGACGCGTATATACAGGTTGTAATTGTTAAGTGTGCCCAGGTGATTATTCCATAAATATAAGAGATATAAAAAAACTTTTAAACTGATATCGAAAGTAAGTAACACAATCAGTAAGTTGACATGGGTAACTTTAAAAAAAAAAAACTAAAAATACCTAAAATGTATGAAAAACCTGTTTATAAATTTGACCAACATCTGCTGTCCCTATTTTTTTCGTCCAATATAATGAAATGATTCTTATTCATGAAACTTTGTCGATGAGCAATAAAAAAAAATTCATCGTTTTATTCCTTTTTATGGACAGCTCACACTTACACATTTATTACATATTTTTATTCAAAAATAGTTTTATTAGTTTATTTATAGCAGTTTTGTTATCTGTAAACTTATTGTTATCTTTTAAAGTAGGTCAACTAAAGCCTCTGTATGAATGTCATATTAAATATATGGGAGCGTTTAATGTTAAAATTTTGGACATTTCCAGTTTTATTTTTAAAAAGTAATTCATGTCGATTTACTTATTAGGTAATGTACTTTCAATATCAGTTTAAAACTTGTTGATATCTCTTTTATTTATGGAATAATCGCCTGGGCACACTTAACGATTACATTCTGTGTATACAGCTATAATATTTATTCAGTTTTGAATGAAAAGACAAGAAAACTTATATGTGGCTGAAACGGTAACCGCGAAAAGTCTACAAAAAATAAAAAAAGGGAACGATTTTAGGTTTCTGAAACCACACTATAAATAATAAGTTTTTGTTCGTAATCCACAACTCGACTGCGGTCAATAGTAATTTAAAAAAACTTTTTTTTTGCTACAAATCACCAGTTATAATTAATACTATGTATAAAATGTGATACGACCTTTTTGTTAGAACACAGTTATACGTGGATTGCATTTAACTCACAAATGTTGCACTGAAACAAGAGTTATTAATTATTATGTTTTATTTTCCATCCTCTAAGATTATTACTCATCGTCTCGAGCTTAGACTATGGATTTTATCCATCCTCTAAGAGTCAAATCGCTGAATTTTTCACTTCTATATGCTCTCTGTTAGATTGACATCATGTTTTAGTATGTGGTTTATCAAAAGTCTCAATAAATAAAAAAAATGTTTGACATTTTGATGTTGACATTGACATTTTAATAATACCCGCCAACCCGCGCCCGTGCCGCGGACCCCGGGTCCTTATTAGCGATAGGACGAGTTGCATTTGTATCAACTCGAGTTACTCGAGTTGAGTTGACCGCTAACCGAACCGACCGAGCTAGCTCGAGTTGACTCGTTGTGGGAGTAACTCGAGTTAAATAAGTCGACTCGCTCTGCAGGTTACCGACGCGTTGTATGAATGAAGTATTCGGTTCGGCGGCAGGCGGGGCGGGTCAACCGAGTTAGCTCGAGTTCATGAAAAAGTAACTCGAGTTGACTCGTTATAGGAGTAACTCGAGTTAACCGAGTTAAATAATTCGACTCGCCCATCGCTAGTCCTTAGGATAGGATGGAAGTCTAACCTGGGTCCATTGTTGCCGTTCTAGCACCTTTGTCGCTAGATCTAGGGAATTATATGCATGTTTAGCGGGTACCTAACAATTAGGTTTTAGCGAGAAAAAATATTTCGCTACTTCTAGCGTCTTTTTGACCGCTAGGCTCTTTTCAGAAACAAAAATTATAACCTGTCAATCAAATACGGTAAATTAGTAATGTTCGGCCAATTTTCTAGTCTAACGCTGGTAACACTAACGTAGAATCGGACTGAACGGTAATTTTCTGTAATAAACAAACTCTCAACATACATTTGTTCGTTTGATGCCTTTCTCGTTCGTTACAATTATCATTCATAATTGATGAAGACAAAAACTATTGATTGTAAAAAAAATCATTTTTTCACTCACAGAATGATGAGATGAATATAATTATTTTTTGTTTGTTGTATTCAAAACTAAATTAAAATAAGTGCTTTTTGGTTCATATTGTCGTAATTATTTACAATTTTATTTACTGTTTGTGAATCAAATTAGATTTTCAAATAAGCATGGAAGTACCGCCATGTCTAGAGACATCTAGCGGATTTTATGAAATTATTTTTACCCAAATCTAGCGGAAAATCTTAGACCATCTAGGGACTTTCAATTATCTACAACGGCAACACTGCCCGGGCCTTTCGATTCAGATTCGCTCTGGACCTTTTGGAGGGAAAAGTGTCGTTTTTATTTTGACTTTCAATATTTTGTGAAATCTAGTTTAAAGTGGAATAGGATAGTGCTATTGTGCCTTAATCGAAGATTAAAACGCGAAATTATACGAATCTCGAACTAAAATACCCGTATCGGCCCGTTCTAAGGAATTCCGAGTCAATCCAAGCACGCCGCCTTAAATTGCCTATCCTCTTTATGGCGGCCATATTTACAGGAAAACTTATTTTTATGTTTTCGGCTGAAGGACTTTGTTTCCATGGCCAGCAATAAATTAAAAAAAAAACTTTCGATTCAAGTTGAAGGAGGTTATGAAAGCATCAAAATAAACAACATTGTTAATCACAAACTGTTTGTTAATGCAAGTTCAGTAGTGTATATACATTTTTAAAATTAATTTAATTAGTGTTTAAGAGCTAAAAGCGTGTAGAATGACGAGTAAACCTAATTCTAAGCGTACAATATACGTGGGTGGTCTAGCCGAAGAGGTAGATGAAAAAGTTTTGAACGCGGCGTTTGTTCCCTTTGGTGATTTGGTGGATGTTCAAATACCCCTAGATTACGAGACAGAGAAGCACAGGGGTTTCGCATTTATTGAGTTCGAGAATGCTGAGGACGCTGCAGCGGCTATTGATAATATGGCAAGTAGTTTGTGTTTTTAAGGTTATGTTTTCCCAAAATGCTCGTTATTCTAACACTTTGGCCTATAACGATAAAAAGGAGCAGTACAGCTCCTTGTGAAAGTGTTCATATAGAGAAAAATACTGTTGCCTTACTTATTTCTGCCGCCTAGCAGCTATGTGATTATTTCTTACTTTACATTACTTGCTAAATTACTGCGTTTTTGTTTTGTACGGTAAGGATACTGGTGTAACTACAGGCACATGGTACTTATTAAATTTACGCCTCACGAGCGCGGAGATGCCCCTGCTACGTGTAGGCATCTTACTATCACGCACAAGTTGTTCGCTGCCACTTAATAATAATAAAAAAAGGTTGGAGCTGCCTGGTGTGGGCTACCCTATTTAGGTAGAGTTACCAGCATCACACCTGAAGTATGTTCAGTTTACGTGCTAGAGCATTATCATAAATAAGCATTGATCACAACCTGACTTTACAAATTGATGAGACAAGTATTACGATGAAGTAATCATGCTTTTGAAAATCCACATTATACCAAGTGCTATTAATAAAATTTCAACTCATATATTCCATCATCAGCAAGCACTCATATTGTGTGAAAGAAATTAAAAACAAATAAATTCTTCATGTACATTGTACTTCACATTGTGATTGAAAGAAAAATACTTACATATTAACATAGTCCAAAGAAGACGATTGAGAGTCATGACCACAATGTTTGCTTCAGCAAAATGTACTTTTATGAAATAATAAAACGTAGTTGTAACAGGGATTTATCCATTAATAGCTTACAGTGGAGAAGGGAGAATTTGAAAAATGTAAGCTGATGTAAAAGGTATGCAAGGAACTATTATAAAAGCCCTTTAACTACAGGTAGCTCAATTTCCTGAACGAACAATTAAAGATCAAATAATTATGTTAAGAAATGTTCATATGTAATTAAAGTTATGTGAAGCAAATAGTTAGAATAAACTTCTTTTGATATACATACATACTATATCGATTTTAGGGCTTTCGTGGTTATTCACTAAATGATTATCACTAATTTCAGTTCTCTTGCCACAACATATTGGGAAAATAAAAAGAAACATACCGTGGTATGAAGCCTGAAATGAGTGATAATCATTTACATATATATAATTTAATAAAACAAACTTTTTTATGTAAAAATATTGTTTACAATATAATAGTTTATTACAGTTTTATTAATGCAAAACTTATTATATTTTCCAGAATGACTCTGAACTTTTTGGACGTACAATACGAGTGAACATAGCAGCACCACAGCGTATCAAAGAAGGTTCAACCCGTCCGGTCTGGTCCGAGGACAGCTGGCTACAGAAACATGCTGGAGAGACATTACAGATTGCTAAAGATAATGAGGAACCAAAGGACAGTAATGCTAAGGAAAAGACTGATAGTAGTAATGTAAGTTAAGCTTTTTAATACTAATTAACTATATAAAACATAGTCCTATTACAATTTTGGATATTTATTTGACTCAAAGGTTTTGATATTGTCTAGATTCATTTCCACTAAGAAATGTGTATAGTGTTGGCAAATGTATAGTGATTAAAATGTTATAAAATATTAACAAAAATATTCAAGTATTATTTAATTGTAATGTCTGCGCAATACATGTTTACAATCAAATTAATAGATGTGAGTTTCTGGTTCACTGTTCTGGGTTGGCTATTTTCAAACAATCCAGTGCAATACAACCTTTTTTTTACAACCTCTATGAAAAAGGAATTTTAGGCCAGCTATTATAAACACCATTAAAAATAACTATGACAGTTTAAATTAAATTGACATGATTATGCCAAAAATATTTTGCCAAATAATAAGATTGCAACTAACAATTTTAAAATCTGTTCGAGTCTAGTATTGTGTGGTGTAAATTGTAGGAAGATTTGTATTTTAGTAATGGAAGACATGGGTAATAAAATGAAATCGGCGTCGCGAGGCCAGGGAGGTTCTGAAGGAATTGAAGAAAATCCTCAGAGCTCCACTGTAAGGGGAAGTTATCTTCCTAAGACTCAGCAATGGGACATACGCTAAACGCCCAATGTATACGTGGTGAAATTACAGGCACATGGGACTTGTCAACTTATGTTTCAGGGTGACGGGCGCAGGGGCAGTGCCCCTTAGATCTTTGTGATTTAAAGCTCTCTGTGGCACTGCAACTGTTAGGGACAGGCATATCGCTTTCCACCAGACACATGACTTGTTGTCCCGTCACTTAGTATTATAAAAAACCATAAAAATTTACAAAGGCTACTGGGCTCGAGTCTTCTCTCAGGCGAGGGTTTAGGCCATAGACCGCCACGCTGCGCGCTGGGCCATTGCAGGTTGAGGACTTCACACATTTTCCGAGAGTTTTGAACCTCCATTGATGAGCAGGTTTCATCAATATGTTTTCCTTCACTGACAAGCTCATGGTAAACTTCAAATTAATTACAATGACGTGGGACCCTAGGAGGTTATAATAGAGTTGTCGTCATTACCAAGTTTTCATTTATCAATCGATACCAAACTAATAAATAGATTCAGTCTTTATTTTGCGAAAATCCATGTTAATAAAAATAGAAGTAAATTAATTTACTACTCTGCGAATACAATGAAGGTTAAAATAGATATTTTTTTCATGTAGTTATTTTTCCCACCCTTCATCCAAATAAAATTCAAAAACCTAATAAATATTTAAGACCTTCACTGGGTTCGCGGGGTTTGCAAAGTAGGTAATTAACTTCCATTTTTTTTTGATACCAAGTGATTAGACGAACAAGTCTCCTCTCCTGGTGGTAAGTGACACGCCTGTCCATAACAGTTACAGTACCACTTAGAGCTTTAATGTCCACTAGCACTAAACTTAAGTATGTCTTAAACCAATGCTTAAATTGATAAGACACTCTTAACACAATGTATTAAGAGTCTCTTTTGCATTGCAATTATTGGTTTAAGACGTACCTAGGTTTAGTGCAAGTGGACATAAATCGCATAGCTCTAACACATAAGTTATGTCGCCAGCACCCTTATCCTTCAAACCCAGAACGAAGTAATAATACTCATAGTTACTACTTGGCGGTACAAATAGATGAAGCAGTACTTCCCTGGACGACCTTTTTCACACGGAGCTCTACTGCTACTAAATTTCTATTGATACCTACTTTTGGCATATGTCGTAAATGATTCCTTAAGTTTTGTAAGTTAGGATATTGTGAGGTTAGGGAGAAATATATTCGGATTACGTTATAACGGGAAGTGAGTGGCGAGTCTTAACTATACTCTAGCCAAATTCAATGTAGAATATTTAATAACAAAACGTTGCTATGTAACCAATGATGGCATAGGAAAAGAACATTTTTTTCAATTCTCATTATTAAGGCTTTCTCTGCCCACGACCTGCTTTCCTTAATTTGAATTTATATAGGTCAGTAGGTAATTAGGTTACGTAGAAGTAATACTTACCTGGCCAATTATTATAAAGTTTACAAAATATCTATTGATACGTATGATTTAGGAATAAAAATAAGTGTTTGCATCCTATTAATATTTAGGTAATGTAATTGGTAGGTAATGGTAGATGAAAAGAAACGAAATTGTAAGATTTTATTTGAAATTAATTTACTACATACTATATCATCCAGCATCTATTTCCGATTCTGAACTTTAATTACCACCAGAAGTCGAATGTTTACAATCTCTACCTTCAAATCAAAAAGTTAGTCGGGAAGACACAGTTTTACAAATAATTAATAACTGGTCATTTTTATATCATTTTTAGGTGATTTGAAACTTCTGTTGAATAATATTCATTATAAACATAGCTTCAAGATTTAGTGTTATTCATAATCTAGTCGAATTTCGTAGGAAAACTTTGAAATTGTGGTAATTGTGAAAGCGTCTCAGAAGAAAACCCTAAAAATCATGTTTTCGTTTGTTGACATTTATTCTACATCGAATTTGGCTAGAATATAGATTCCACGAGTATGTAGGCCTCCCAGGTTAGGCGAGTTTTTATGACCGAGTGGGTCCAAGGAGCTGGAGGAAACTCCCACATAACTCCGCCATGTCATTGCAGTGGCGGAGTATGCGTAACGCATTTTCCTGTGTATAAAAAAGTTATAACAGGAAGTGCAAGATGGATCGAAATTAATTTACTCTGCCGCCAAACTGTATAGTGACAATATTCGAATTTAGGTTTTGAAGAGTAAGTATGCTGCCGGAACTACAGGTATATGCCAACTATGAATCTCAGTTCGACCGCTTTCGTTCTGAGTGGCACTGTAACTTTTGACATCCTCTGTGGTCGAGTGGCTTGCCCACCTGTTTTCATTGTGTCGCCATCTCTGAGGTCCTGGATTCGATCCCCGACCGACTGTAGAAGAATTAACTTTTCTGTATTGTCTCGGTGTTTGTGGTACCGTCGTTGTTTCCGATTTCCATAACACAAGTGCTTTAGCTACTAACTTCGGGATCAGAGCAACGTATGAGATGTGGTCTAATAGTTTATTTATTTATTTATATTTGTATGAATGCTATGGACAGGCGTGTCGGTTACCACCATTTGCACGATTTCCTTGTCTCGTTACTTAATCTCATTAAAATAAATTAAACCGAACCCGGGATTTTCTGATCCAATACCCACGGTGGAATTCTTCGGGCCATTGAGCTCGTCAAGTCTTATAAATCTTGTGTTGCTTGCTCTGTACTATTTGTAAACCTAAAGTATTTGAATAAAAATATTATTTTTATAGACAGCAATTACCACTTCGTATCGTCTGAGTGTTAGCTGATTTGTGTACAATAAAAAAAAAATTACGTTTTACTTACTAATTAGTGGTATATTACTTTGCAGGCAGTACCTGCCACTGTGACAGAGAAGCGCAATCCGCAAGTATACTTCGACATAAATGTAGGCAAGCAAGAAATTGGTCGTATTATAATGATGCTGCGAGCAGATATTGTGCCGCGTACGGCGGAGAATTTCAGAGCCCTATGCACACATGAAATGGGATTTGGTTACCAGGGAAGCAGGTTTCATAGGATTATACCCGATTTTGTATCCTTTCCAAAGTCTGTTCGATTATGTACTGAGTTACTTGTAAAATATGAACAACAACTTTTGTTCCATGACTTTTAACAATTCATCAGATTTTCTTCGATACAAAAATAAATAGACATAAATGGTTTGTTATAATTATTAGTACAAAGAACGAACACTTAGAAAAAAATCCTACGATCCGGCCGAATTCGAACCGACGTCTTCTAGCAAACCGTGCCAGTCGCTATGCCAACTAAGCACGGAACGAACCAGCGGACCTCACGAATTTTTCCATGTGCTTGTTGTCGAATCTTTGTATTTGGTTTTCAAACGACTTTTAACCGTAGCGCCATCTATGAGAAATCTATGGTAGTGTTTCGTCGCCAGTTAGGTAACTTTACAGCTACCAGCCCTGGCTAGAGATGTCGCTATTAATTGTAATTAAATTTGTATTCCATTCGTTTGTTATAATTATTAATACAAAGATCGAACACTTAGAAAAAATTCCTTAGTTCCGGCTGGAATCGAACCGACGTCTTCTAGCAAACCGTGCCAGACGTTGGCTTAGCATAGCGTCTGGCACGGCTTGCTAGATTCAATACAAATTTAAATAGATAACGGTATTAACTCTGTGCAAGACCGGGGTGGGCGTCGTCGAGGAAGACGCTTGCACGTTTGAAGTTATTCTGCCAAATACAGATCTAAGTTCATATTTGGTAAATTTATTATGTTTTGTAAAAAGTCATGTAATAAAAGTTGTTGTTTATGATGTTAGTAATGTAGTCCTACGAGGTTGTTGGTATTTTAATAATAACTGTGTCAAAGGCTACAGTTGTGGTTGTCACAATGATTGTCGCTTCCGGTATACATAAATTGAGCTTACTATAGTTCAATGTGTCCGTCATTTGTATTATCAGTCAGAAAGTATAAAAGATTTAGTTTTCAGTTGTAATATCATCATAGTATCCAGATCTGGATCTGCACGCTCTACGTTCCGCATTTGTGGCAATGTTTAATATTATTAACTATGTCAATCAATATAGTATGTTTGATATCGGGACTAGAGCGTGTATAATATATTTACGTTTCGGACGTCTTGCAATCTCCATGTTCTCGAAGGGACTGAAGAGGTGGGGGTCAACATCTAGTCGTGCCATTTTTTCTAGCTACCTGCTTGGTCTTCATTATTTATTTGTGCACAAGGGTTGTCACTAGTCCGACACACAACACTCACGATATCTGATGACATGTCAGGCGATACTTGATGTCGCTTACACTGGACTGGATCCCACGATTCAAATGTGCGAAAATTTTGAAAGTTTAAATCAATATAAAATCCTGTGCTTCTTACGCGCCCTGGTCATCAATCGGCGAGTACGTTACGCCTATTGCCAATCTTTTCATCACTTGTGGCATTGATAAGACAAGAGGAAGAACTGTTGAGCATGGGTCTCCTCCGAGAAGAGGGTGGGATCGAATAACAAAAAGGTGAAATGTCCGCCATACAGCCAGGACCCAAATGGAACTTTATATACACACGCAATATTATATACAATTAATTATACACACATAGGTCTCGATTCGCACTAACTCGAACTAAACTTAAGTTTAGTGCAGATGTGTCTTTAATTTTAAGTAGGAAACGGACAAAATAAAAATGCAGCTTCACGAGCTGCCAAATTAGTCTACACTCAATGACTAACGTATATCCTTCGGCGAAAGCGCCTTTTTGAGGGTAACATGTTTTAGTTTTTCACGACTGCTTTAAAATATTTACGTACTGTTTTAAATTCAATTTTAGAATTTAAACCTAATTAAAACCAAAATTCGTATACTTCGTTTCAATTTATTTTAATCAAAAAGTAAACAAACAAGTCACTGACCTGACCATAGACGGTTTAGTGATGGCCAATTGTAATGCAAACTAAAAATAACTAATATAATATCAATTAATTAATTGAATGAATCGATTTGTTTGATTGAGTCATACTGACGGTTTTCCTTACATGAACAGTAAAAATACATAACCTATGAAAGCATATATTTAAAATATCCGAAATCTTAATTTTAAATCCTCATTCAAATCTTTACACTTACATACTCGTTTGATTGCGATTGAAATTTTCGATTTACCAATCGATTACAAAAACTTGAATGAACAGAATGTTTTTTTTTCGTTCAGCACTATGCAACCATGGACAAGTCAGAAGTATAGATGAAAAATAACCTCACTTTTAAACTAACATTTTTCAAATACAAGTATTCAAATGAAGATTGTTGGAAAAAGTGATGAGATATCAAGTCGAAATCTTCGAAATATACGTGCAAGTGTTACTTTTTCGATTATTGAGTGATTGCTTTAGAATTTTAACCAAACAACGCTTTCTATAAAACACCGACGAATTGTTGATAGCATACATTTGTACCGCATTTGTAATCGTTTCACAGCTCTGAACTAAAAGAATCTTTTATCTCTTTCTTATTGATATCGGAAGATGTCTCTTTAATTTTGACTTTTGCGTTTGCCCGAATTGACGCCATTTATGTGCACAATATTTTTCTTAATCAACATTCAGATGTGTCAGGGAGGCGATTTTACAAACCACAATGGGACAGGTGGCAAGTCTATCTACGGTGTCAAATTCGAAGATGAAAACTTCAAACTGAAACACACAGGACCTGGCATACTGAGCATGGCCAATTCCGGTCCAAATACCAATGGATCCCAGTTCTTTTTGTGTACTGCTAAGTAAGTAATTATTATATTCTTTTTTAAAAGTAAATGTACTTGCTCTAAATTAGTACGTAACCCTGGATCTAAGATGGACTACGATGGACCGTGCTGGCCCAGAAGATGCTTTTTCGGGGTATTACTTACGGCTAAAACCGCATGGACCAACTGGAACAAGAACAGTCAACACTTTTGCCTACTTGTAGCAACCAAGGTATGTATTTTGGTAGTATGGATTATTGTGTAAGTATGGCGTGAGATAATGGAAATTTTATTTTGTATTCAGAGCTTTTAGACGTGTGAGTTATTAGAGATTTTTAGGGATTTATCATACCACGTATAGATTATTGTAATTGGTGTCTGCTAGACTGCTCCACATTGGGCCGGCATAATAAATGTCGTCATAAGGCTAGATTGGAGCAGTATAAATTCAGCATAGTTTTTTTTTTAATTTAATGGACTTGCTCTTGACCACCACCTAGCCCTGGAGCAAGAATAGGATCTACGATGGAGCTCGCTCGCCCAGAAGATGGTTTTTCAGTCGCACCCTAGGGATACTCTATTCCTGGGCTGTGCGCATAATAAAAGATGACGAAAAGCGCTTACTACGCCTGAAGGGAATATCGTCTAAGTAAGGATGATATCTCGCCGTATGTCTGCATGTCCGATGGTAAATGCGGCGGGCGGAATGAGCTAATGGAGCTCTGTATAAAACCGACAAACTTTGCATCGGTAGTCGAACGGTTACCATGTTGGTCTGCCACGCAGTTTCCACGCAATTGATATTTTACTGAGCCATCGTTCAGGTGAATGCAATACTTTGCTAGATCGGACTTCCGTTTCGTATATTATTTCTTTCTTACACATTTTCAATCAATAATATCGTGTAAGTATCCTAGTCGTATTTTAATCGCACTTACTATCTTTGCAATAGACAGTTTTGATGTGATTTTCCCATTTTTTCTGTAATTATAATGGGTTGGCCAAAGCAACCATGTGGATTTAACCACTTACCAACTTTAAACAAAAAAACGTTTTTCTTCTTAAATTACCTCTCGGCTACTGGAGCTTGGCCGTCAATATGACAAATTTATCACTATCCATGGCCAAACGAAACAGTTGTTCAAATGATGACGTCAGTTTCCAACATTTATGAATTCCGTTATTTCCAGGACAGACTGGCTCGACGGCAAACACGTGGTGTTCGGGCATGTGATATCGGGCTTGGATGTGACGAAGAAGATGGAAAAGTACGGCAGTAAGTCGGGCACCGTTTCCGCGCTGATTACCATAAGCAATTGTGGGCAATTACAATAATATTCAGTACGAAAACTCTTGTTTTATTTACAGTTGAGAAGACTGTGTTGTAATATCGATGCTTATTATTATGATACCATTTTTTGTTATAATACGAAGTGACGAGACGAACAAGTCGTGCGCCTGGTGGTAAGCAACAAACCTGTCCATAGCAGTTGCACTGCTATTCAGAGCTTTAAACCGCAAAGATCTGAGGGGCACTGCTACTGCGTCTGTCGCCTAAGTTGACAAGTCTTATGTTCCTGTAATTTCACCACCACCCTTACCGCTCAAAACTATAACTGCAGTTGGCGGTGGAAAAAGGTAGGGTGGCAGTACTTCCCTGGACGAACTCTTTCACAAGCAGCTCTACTGCTACTTACAACGCAATAAAGACGGAAAGGTTTGGTTGAATTTTCACGCTCTTTAAGTCTGTCTATTCAAAGTTTTGTTATTCTCAACTATATGCTTTTTCTTACGCCAACATAAAACGTTTACCTTTCAAACTGTTGGTTCCAGATTTGGTATTGGGTCCAGTAGGATTTTTAAACGTTTATACATTTTCGATTTCCACCTGGCTTGTGAACTTCGTAGTTTGGGTTTTTTACGTCCTTTTTGTCTCGAAGTGTCGATATGAGACGTATTTTTTAAAAACTCTGTTCAAGTAATAATTGGAACTGAAGAATCAACATCGTCGGTGTTGTGTAGAAAGGGTGTAATGGTACTTTTCGACTGGCGAGGCGAGGCGAGATTTCCATCAAAAATTGCCATAATAGCGCGAAAGATTCAGTGCTGTTCAGTTCATCCAGCTATAAATTATTACGTGTCTGGAGTGACATGTCCCTCAAATTATTATTATTGGATATGGTAACGGAAGAAGAATCGGATGCAACGATCTTTGTTAAATCGCAAATCGTACGTGGTCTACAATCTCGCGATTGTTATCAATAGCCATCGCGAGCTTGCGTGTGACGTTGCGGGCACTCGCGAGATATCGTGTTTCAGTTAAAGAAGAAGCAACAATACGGTTCAACATTACATCCAACAAATATTTCAATTCTCGCCTCGCTCAGACTCGTCAATCCAGACCATTTTCACCGAAGCTTGGCTAGGAGAGAATTAAAATTTTGTCATACAAATTTCAATGCTCGTCTCGCCTAGTTTCGTCTTGCTTCGCCGGTGGAAAACCAACTTAAAGACGTAAGCGATATTTCGAAGACATTTTGAGGGTAGCATATTTTAGGTTTTCTCGACTATTTTAAAATATTTACTACTAATAAAACTTAAATAAAAATTAAAGATAAAGAACCAAATAATTCACAAACCATTATACGTGAGGCGCACTAGAAAGTTTCCGGAATGAATAAGAAAAAAATAGTATAAATGGTCAGAAATGAATTTATTGTTTCTGAAAATATTCTCCGTTAGCGTTAATGCACTTTTTCATACTTTTTCATACGAATGAACCAATTTTGAAAACATTTATGCCACTCCTCCGTGACAATCTTTGAAACATATTTTTCATACTCTTCGACAGCCTTTTCAGGTAATTAAAATCGATGACCGCGTAACTGGTTCTTAATTTTTGGAAATAAATAAAAGTCACAAAGTGCTAGGTCGGGACTGTACGCGGGATGGCTCATAAGGTCAACGTTGTTCACCTTCAAAAATTCATTTGTCTGTCTGGCCGTGTGAGAACTGGCATTATCGTGGTAACTTCCGGCAAATAAATGGTCGTGTACCAATCACTATTCACGGTATACAACGATTCTCCAAAGCAACAGTAGCCACGTGTCCAGTTTTAGAAAAAGAAGCAATCATCCGCTTAGAGGCACTTTGCACGCGCGCTACTATGGCTGGTTTCGGCTCATCTCGAAAGACCCATACGCTCGATTGCTGCCTTGTTTTGGGATCATAACTATAAATCCATGTTTCGTCACCTGTTACTATATCCCACACCAAATTTGACGCCCCGTCGTTGAATCTGGTAAGCATGACATTGCACCAAGTGACGCGTTCCGTTTTTTGAGCCTCAGTCAAATCGTGTGGGATCCACTGAGAGCACAGCTTTTTCACACTCACACTTTTTCTTCTCGCAATCGAGGTGAAAAGTAATGTTTTCACTGTTTCCGCGGCCGCCTCTGTGTGGCCTGAGCATAAAAATATATAGTTACTCTCGGAGTAATAGAAGAGACATCCTCGCTAAGGCTCGGGTATAAATTGGCTTAAGTTTTAAAAGTTTCTATATTCCCGAGACTGAACACTTCAGTCTCGAGTCTTGAAATCGCCAAAAAATTGTGGAGACTCTTGAAAACCCTATACCTTAGTAAGTATTGTAAAAGTGCTTTCTTGTTATTTTGTGTGCTAAGTTATACAAACACAAGTGAATACAAAGTTTGTTTCCCACTGGCACTATCCAAAAGGTAGTTAACTAAAGAACTACTAAGTATCTACTTTGCTATTCTTCTCGCCCACAACTCTTCTCACGTTTGAGTTAGTTTTATCTGTAAAATAGTTGGAGTGTAGGTGCAGTCAGCTTCAAAAATATCTAAACGATCAAAGCAACGAGAAATCTACACAATCAAAATCTTTGTGTCAATGGATTAAAGGTAAACATTTCACACAACAAATGGGCTTTTACAGTTGAACATTTTAAGTGCACTTTAAACACATTTGCATAAAGTCTATTTTTTATTGAATGTATAATTTGAGTGTGAAGATAAAATTAACCATTTTGGACGAGTAAACAAATTTGGTTAATTTAAGTTTGTTTGGTTTGGGTTTTTGTTTAGATAATTTTGACGCTGGTTATACCTAAATCGAGAACTTTCCATTTGTCGGAAACATGCCATTGCAACACTGAGTGGCTTTAACTGTGAAGTTTTTAGTCGCCATGTTTTAGCTGCAAGTTGTAAATCCAACTGCTACTGTTGACTGTTTAATATGTATGGTATTCGTACATTTGTATAATTAATTCATTTTGTTTATTGTAAAGTGACAGTTAAGTTTGTCGTTAAGTGTACAAACTTCAACTACCGTCGAACTTAAGTTTAATTCGAGGTTTTGTGCAAAAACATGTGTTGAGATTCTATGTAACACAGAGAGCGGGTGCAGGTCGAGTGCGGGTCGGGTGCGTGTCGGGTCGGGAGCACGGCAGGTCTCAAAATGTGTTTATAAGGACAACAACAAACCAAGCGCGGGCGCGTGCGCTCGGCCCACGCCACGGCCACGCGAGGTGTTAGCGTACACGGAATTAGAGATATTGTGTAATTGAGATAAGGAGATGAACTCGTTCGTCGGCCCCGATACAATGTGGCCGGGGCGTTCATCAAGCGCGCAGCTAGCGCTTCTTAGTAGCGGTCTAGACGAGGACCTAAAGCGAAGAGACGCGCTGGGTACGTGAGTGGCCCTTCGCCAAGCCGGAAACTATATCCGGACATTATTGCAGGCCACTGCGACCGGCATCTCCGGTACTAACCCTGAGAGTTAGTAGAGGATGAGCTAGATATCCTTAAGTCCCTCCAGCTGATTAGGTTATTGGGAACTAGAGAGTCGCCGTTTCGGCATCGGAAAGTGAACGTGCCTTACAGCACCGCCATCAAAGAGAAGATTTGGTGGTGGACTATGAGTCAACAACGGCTTAGCGGTGGCAACCGTTAGTTGCGCAATGCGCAACGGGAAGTGAGCGTGCCTACAGCTCCGGTACCTATCTGGGAAAAAGGGAGCGTTGGGTGGACTGCCCCGCGTGCACGCCTTTTGCACACACACCGCGTGCCTTTTGAGAACCGGATGAAGTCGGTGCAAACTGGCTGATCAGGTCCGTGCAAACAGGCGGGGCAGGACCTGACTGAGTAGTTCCCTGTGCGAGCTTGCTTATAAGGCGTGGTAGGGAGGTCGATAGGTCAGTATAAACAAAACTTATGTAGAAAAGGTATGGGACTGATCTTGAAGTTAATTTTATTTTCTTTTGTACTCATAGCATAGGAATTTCCTATATTAAGACTAGAGTAACTAGTGTTAATGTTGTCTGGCATGATAACGGTAACTTTATATCTCTGTATCCCATTAGTATTAGGTTTCTCCGTATTCCCCTGTACTTCAGATAGGAAGTACAGGAGGATACAGAGAAACCTGCCATTGAACACGGGATAGGTAGATGAAATAGGGTACCAGCTTTGGGATATTGTAAGGTCTTTTCTCAAATGGTTTACATCCCGTAACAGCGACACACGACTGTATGATTTTGCCATTGGTGTGCTTATCTGGCACATCTGCATTATGTGCGTTTATATATACTTATCAACGACTTATAATTAATTTATTTTATTAATTACGTAATTGTTACCAAACCTTTTACTTTTCTCACTTAGAATATACTTACCTATTACGTATAGGTATAATTTTATCAGATTAATTTCAAATCAATTGAATTGTAATTAATTGGGCATGACACGGTACCTATTTGGTAAAATACGTCTGCTGTGTTCCATGTCGCGTGTGTGCTGTTGTAGGGTCCACTGAAAATTAGCGTCGTAGCACTTTCAATGAGCACAGCGCATATTCTATTATTCCAATTTTGTCACTTAATTTATTGTTGTTAATTAGTCGAATTTTTTATTAAGTGTTGTCTAATTCTCTTGTATTATGTGTTAAATCAAAGTGTTTGTGTACTGTGCCGTAATTTATTAACGAAATAAACAATTTTTCTTCTTTCTTTTCAACTATATCTATTCATTATTTTAGTGTCATATAAGTACGTAGTCATCAGTATGCGCTGGGTTTTATTCTTTGAACTTTTGAACCTTGTTATCGGAAGTAAAATAGAGTTAAATTTAAATTTTAATTAAAGAGACGTACTGTGTAGCTTGTGACTTTTATGTTTTATATTAACTCGAGAAGTCGATAACATGCAATGTAACATTAAAATACGTAACGTACAATATTTAATTTAAACGAGGGTGATAAACAAAATAAGAAACCGAGCAAATAGAATTCACCCCAATTTCTTATTTCGTTTAGCT